ACCCTGACCACAGTTGCTGGACAGCCCCAGAAGAGGAGCCAGTTGCAGCTGCTACTGACCCAGGAGCTGACATAAGCCAAGTCCCCTGCTTTGCCTGAGACCCCTGAGGAGTAAGGAAGTCTCAAACCAGACCTCCTTATGTTCCAAATCACTGAATCAGCTCACGTGGCTGGTCAAGACTAGGATTACCCCCAGGATGCCAGAGGACTTGGAGACTATTGTAGCAAACAAAATATTAGAAGAAAAGACACCAGAGTGTCACCAACAGTCACCCCTGGGTGGTGACATTATGAGTACAGATTTTGGCTTCATCAAACATTTCTGTATTTCCCACATTAGCTGCATAAAGCATATATTAATTTTTTTGTAAATAAGTTGACGGACTGAAAAAAAAGTTAAAGAATAACTGTTTAAAATATTATTCAAAACAAAGTTATAAAGGTGGGGACAGTGTTTTGTTTTTCAGTCATGGAGAGTTCCCCGAAGGATGCAGACATGAGAACATGACCCTTTTTGGGGCCCTCTGGTGCTATCTTTGGGCCTGACCTCTGCTCTCTGTGGGGGATACGTGAGCTGGTGGTTGCTGAGTCATCACATATGGGTCACAGCCCTCTTTGGAACACTGGTCTGGAGCCATGGGCCACCTGCCTGGGATGAGCTTTACCAGGGAGGGGTGGCTCCAAAGCTCTCATTGGGGGCAGCCTGGGGCATAGATCTCTCTCTGCACTTGCCCTTCCACTAATAAATGTACTATGGTCAATGAACTGTACCCATGAAATAGGGTGGAATGCAATAAACGATAAAAGATAATATAAACAGCCAGATAGGGTCAAAAGATGATTTCTTCTTTTATAATTTTGACATAATTTCAGACAATACAGTTGCAAAAATACCAAATGTTTACATCTTACAGAACCATAGTACAATGATCAAAACCAGAAAATTACCATTGATAGAATATTGTTAACTAATCCAAAAGCCTTATTCAGATATGTCATTTTTCTATTTCAGGATCCAACCCAGGATTCCACATGGCACTCAGTGTCAGTGTGGTCTCCTTTATTGTAGACCAGTTCCTCAGTCTTTCCTTATCTTTCCTAGACCCTGACATTTTCAAGAGTTACTCTGTAGACCAGCCATCCAATAGAACTTTCTGTGATGATAGAAATGCTCTGTATCCGTGTTGTCCAATATGACAGTCATTAGCTACATGAAAATAGCATTTGAAATGTGGCTAGTGGGGCTCAGAAACTGAATTGTAAATTTTACTTAATTATAATTAAAATAACTACATGTGGCTATTAACTACTGTTTGGGACAGGACAACTGTCAAGTGTCCCTCATTTTGGGTTTGCTTAATGTTTCCTCATGATTAGCTTCAGACTGTGAGCTTTGGATAAGAATACCATAGACGTGATGCTGTGCCCTTCTTTGTCTAAATTTTTAAAAGCTGTTGACAGTTAACAGGAAACCACCTAGTCTAGGAAGCTGGGTTGTTTTAATGCCCTTCAAGGACCAGCAAAGACAGGGAGCCATAGACGTGATGCTGTGCCCTTCTTTGTCTAAATTTTTAAAAGCTGTTGACAGTTAACAGGGAACCACCTAGTCTAGGAAGCTGGGTTGTTTTAATGCCCTTCAAGGACCAGCAAAGACAGGGATGATAACCACATTTGGAATCCAGTCCCCACACTCCCAATGTTCTTCTGCAAGAATTAGATATGAGGCCATTGGAGTTGGGGTGGGTAGCAGGCAGGATTAATTCTTGAATAATCAATGTTCACCCTCTCCTGGCAAAACAAAGCGGAGCTGGCTTTATTACCTGAACTCATACAATTCAGGTGTGATTAAGAACATTTTGTAAATGCTGAAGGTTGTGAAATATCCGTAGGGTTATAAGTACAGTAAGAAAAACCTGAAAAGTGTTCAGACATCTTCCTATGATTCAGTTCGGGAACACTGGCTTTGGAGTCAGGTCTGTACTCAGGCATTTGAGAATGATCTAGGCCAACTCTTAACTCCCCTTTTATCTTTTTTTTTATTGAATCATAATTGATTATACATATTTTGGGGATTCAAGGCTGACATATGTTGATCAAATCAATATTACTAGTATGTATATTGTTACAAATTGTACTTATTCTTTATGCTTCTTGTCCAATCTCTCCCTATCCCCCTCTCCCTCCCCCCTCCAACCACTGATAACCCTAGATTTCTTCTATTCCTTCTGAAAGAGTAATGGTTACTCTGTTGATTGATTGCCTAGATGACCTGTCCAATGCTGAGAGGTGTGGTTAGATCTCCCAATATTATCATAGAGCAGCTGCTGCTTCTGTCACTCTGGAATGGGCTTTGTGGAGAGAGACATCCTCTACTTTTCTTTGGTCTCTGCTGGTGACTCTCCTTGTGTCAATGTACTCCAGTGGCTGGTGGACCATCTGCATGGTGGTTGTGACATCTAGCCACTTTCGTGGCAGCCATGGTTACTGTGGTGGCTGTGGTGGGCCACCCACATGGAGGTGATGTTTTTGGCATGCTCCTTGGCGCTGGTGGTGTGCTTGGTTGTGGGTGGGGGGTCTGGTCCCTGGCTTGTCTTTCTTTTTTTTAAATTGCAGTATGTAGCAAAGTATAACAGCCTTAAGTGTACAGTTGATGTGTTTTTACATATGCTCAAAATTGTGTACACACCACTCACATCAAGATGTAGAACATTTCCACTCACTTAGAAGGTGTGCCTCCCTCCCCTCCCCCAGTCAACATCCTCTAGAGGTAACCAGTGATATGATTTCTATTTATGTAGCTTAGTTTTACCTCGTTTTGAACCATATGTGACTGGAAGTAGATAACATGCACTTTTCTGTGTTTAGCTCCATTAGCTGGGCACCATTTTGTCATGGTGCCCATCCGTTGGGGAGATCCATCCATGTTGTGCATATCAATAGTTCGTTCTTTTTCACTGCTGCGTAATATTTCATGGCATGAGTACACCAAAGTTTGTCTCTCCATTCTCTTGCTGGTGGATAATTGGGGTGTTTCCAGAGTTTGCCTTTTAAGAATAAAGTCACTACAAACATTATCTAGTTTGTATGTTTCTGGATAGATATATATTCAGGAGTGGAATTACTGGGTGATAAGGGTTGGCATATGTTTAGTAAGAACTGTCAAACATTTCCCCAAATCTCTTAAGCACTCTTTAAAACAGGAAGAATAAACCTACGTTACCTGGTTGTGAGAGTATTTAACGGGCCCTCAGGTATGTCTTTAATTCCAGGAACACGGTGTGCACTTTAACCACTGGCCTCTGCCCGAGCCAGGAGAAGGGCGCGGCATACGACAAGCACTGCGGGAGATACCGGTCCCAGACCCGTGGGCGGAAGAGGCCTCTCCCACGTAGCTCTCAAGGCTCACACCCAGCGTGCCCGCCAGCCAACGTTGGCGCGCCTGCCGTGCACCCATCTACCCAGCGGTCCCCCACCCAGATCCTGCTCCAGCGGGCTTAGCACGTCGCCTGGCTAGGCACCACCCATGCCCCTGTGAACTTTGAGTGTCACATTTTATTGAGCACTAACTGTGTGCCAGGCCCTGGGGACGCGAGAGCGAACGACACGAAGACCCTCTCCCCTCAGAGCACCCGGGGGGAGGAGAGGTTGCTTCACGTGGAAGCGGGGGTCGGAATTCCAAGCTGGCCAATGACTCCGAGACTGGCCACCTGTCTGCTTTCTGGCCGGACCCTAGACATCCCCTGGAAGTAGCCCGAGAAGAACCGGGGACGAAAATAATTTGCTCCCCCGCACCCCCAGCAGGAAACTAGGTCGGTCCCACGTGCGCTTCGCAGCCAGTCCCGCGGCGAAACCCAGGCCGAGCGCCCGCCCCGCCCGCCCCC